AAAGGAATGAGAGTGCAATGCAACGGACATGTGAGCATGAGAGATCTAAGAGAGAGAGGCATAGAGAGAGACACAGAGAGTCGAAATAACAGCTGACATAGGCAGGTAGGATGGAAACATCACAGTCAGTTAAGACTTTACCTGGTTAATAACGTCCTTCCAATGATTGCTCAGTTTGTACCCATCCTCTCGGTAGAAGTTATGTCTGTCTTTATATATCTGGATGGCTTCATGAACAAATCTCTGAAGGTTGCTGGTAGGTTTGCATAGTACCTCCGTCTTGGAAAAATCAATTTCGTGTGAGCCCACAGCGTTAAAACAATGTATGCAGATGATCTTTTAGGTGGAGCTTTCTTGTACCAAAACATAAGCTATGCCTTAACCTGTGGGAGCAATAAGTCTGACGCGTGTTTGACGTGTCTTAAATAAATAAATAAACTGCTTCTTTATTTCTTAGTTGTACAAAACCAACTATTTATAAAGTTATATCTCGCCTGTCCACTTACTTTATCACGTTATCACACGATCAAAGACTGTCCCCACTCGCTCCTGCCTGGCTCTTCTCCTGGCTTCCCTTTTATATGGTCAGGCTGGAAGTGACATCATGGGTTCAACCAACGTAGCGTCTAACCAAAGGGGGGTTCTAAACAGTTGGAATATTCCATGTCAAGTATGCCCAATCGTCAACAAATTTACGACAGATCTACATCAATGTATACACAGAAATAATAGATTCACTTTTCTTTGGGTCTTTCGGTAAAGTAATAACAAAAAACTACGACGTTTCGATCGCAACACAAGCGGTCGTCATCCCCTTTTTCCTGATGATGACCGCTTGTGTTGCAATCGAAACGTCGTAGTTTTTAATTTTCTTTGAACCTATGTGATTTTACCGAAAGACCCAAAGAACATGGATTCCTGCAGTGATTAAAGCTTTAAGTCAATACATTCACTTTATGTCTTATGGCTCTTCCATGTCTGGTGATTGCTGCCAACTCTGAGATGCAGTTGGAGGAGCTACTGCTGAAAATGGACCTTGCTTCTAAGAGATGGGGTCTTATAAACCTGCCTGGGTAGTTTATGTCATTGAATGCTCCCTTCCCTCGACTCTGCATGAGTGATAGGGCAGTTGATAGAGTTCCTGAGCAGTGTGCTCATGCCCAGCTCTGGTTTGGCAGCAGAGGTCTTGCTGTGTCGAAGCTGCCTGGTCTATTGTTTCATACGAAGCTCCGGGTCTTCTCAGCCTCAGTTATGTTCTCCCTTCTCTATGCTTGCGAAACACGGAGCCTTCAATATGAACATCTGCACCGATTTGAAACATTAAGGCTGGCCTTCCTACGATCCATCCTTAGTTTAACCAGACTGGATTGTGTGAGGAGCTCACAGATCCTTGAAATCTCTGGACACATTCCCATCAGTGAGCTCCTCGGCAGGCAAGGCTTCGCTGGCTGGGTCATATAGCCCGCATGCCCAGCCACCACATGCCCAAGCAGCTTCTGTTTGGCCGGATAGAGGGGGCTAAACGGGCATGGCACGGGCTACAGAGGAGATGGACTGATGTGATACAGAATAATTTGGAGCTGGTTGGACTTGACGATGCCTGGTACCAGCGGTGTCAAGATCGGCCTCTGTGGAGGAGGCTCATGAAGGACGCTGCTACTGGGCAGTTGGAGGCATTCGCCCTCCAGCAACAACGGAGGGCAGAGGAGCGACGCTCACAACAACGAGCGGAGCGCCGGGTGGCTAAAGCACAGCAAGTTGGCACAGTAGGGGGCACAGGTGGTGCATCAGTCAGTCATCTCAGTCAGTCGACCCGTGGCACCTGGGTCCGTTCCGTAAACCTCCTGCCAGTGAGCCTTTGACACTTCACATAGCCTCAATGTGCAACTAGCCTTGCACAAGCGCCGTGGTGGCGTTACCACCACTTCGGGGCGAATGGCGGTTGGGAAGCAGTGGTATGGTGATTAGCGCACGACGTTACGAACGCAGCAACCTGAGTTCGACTGCAGGCCATGGCTAACAACAATGGTGAATGATCTCCGTATTGGTCCTCGGCCTCCCTTGGGTTGACTCGGCCTTAAATAGTACTTTATGCACTGGGGAGACAAAAGCGGCAAGGCCTGGTACTCACCACACCACCTCGTGCTCCATACTGGCTTTTATAGGAGCTCACGAACATAAATTGTTCCTCTGGTCTGTAAGGCAAATGGACGATTACTGCTTTCATCTGATCCACCACACGCAGGTCACAACAACATACCATCTCACTCACCCAGCCACCCAGCCACCCACCCACTCACCCACTCACTCACCCACCCATTCACTCACCCACCTACTCACCCACCCATTCACTCACACACTCACCCACCCCACTGCAGGTCACAACACTTTCCGCTTTTTCCTTCACACTGCTCTATTTTGGCATTCTCTCGTCTCTTTTTCCCAAGATCTTATAATAGCCGTGCTCAGTTCTAGTACAACGTTAATAGTTCTGTTTGTTGCTGGCCGCTTTGTGTTTTAGGCCTGTGCTCAGCAACTGGAATAAAATAAATCTCGAATTAAACCTTTCTGTGCCACGCGCTGTCGAGACGCCTCCCCGTTGTTGTTCAGCAGCAGCGATGCCAGCAATCACGAGGATCAGTAATCACCTGTTTCTCGCCACTCGACAATAGGGGGCCCACACTTAGAGCGCAGCCATTCGCAATAATTACGCGATTAGGGTGCATCAATGTGTCATTTTCAAGCAGTATCCCTCATACACGATCATCAATACAGACATCAGCGCTACCATCGCCATCACTATCATCACCAGCATCGCCTGCACCATCGAGACCATCAACAGCAGCAACATCACCACCAGTTTCACCTGCAGCGACAGCACCACCAGCACCATCACCAGCACTATCACAGCCTCAGATAACCACCACATCTCCCTAAATGCTCCTGATCTCGTCAAATTTGGGAAGCTAAGCTGGTATTAGCCTGGTTGGTATTCAGATGGGACGCTGCCTATGAATCCCAGGTGTTTTAAGCTTGGACTGCGAGGGGGGTTTCTCAGAGTTGTCGGGTTTATTACCGCAAGCTAAACACTCATTCATGGAATTGGCTAAACATCCAATGCAGGACCATGCTACTACATAGTCTTAAAACTCTGTGAGGATTTTCTGGAAAATTAAATGCATTCTTTTTTATTATTTTCATATTCCAGCATACCCAGATTAAAGGCATAATATTTACTGCCTAGAATAGTAAGTGGGCTTGGGCCTGGCCCGTTTTTAAGAGTAATGGTGGCCGGTGGTGGAGACAAACGTGGAGCGGCAGGGGGAACGCGCCCGCGAGGACATCCACTGCGCAGTGGTGCAATGGAATCAGCTCGCGTGCAGGTTCTCAGTGGATTGTTACATCGCAGGGTCGTGAGAGATGGCGATGGAGTGGGGGAGGTCCTCATCCAGCAGTGGATTGATCACGGCTGATGATGATATTCCGTCTCCGTCATGAGCATCCCCGCCAGCTCATGGCTCCCAGCCCAGCGTGTGTGGCTGGCGCCGCAAGACACGAGCCCTGGTGACTCCACGTTTGATCTCGCAGGCTCCCCACCGCGCCTCCGTCTTGATCTTTAGCGACCCCCATTTCCGCGGCACTCAATTACATCTGAGTAAATATAATGCGGTAAAATGAAACCCACAGCGGCCTCATCGCACTCGTGATGATTGTTAATTATTGATTTTAAAATAATGGTTCTACAAGCTCCCGTTTCTGTGATTTATTGAGCGCACCATCATCTATCTAGTGCCGATCAAATTGGCACACCCTGGTGAGGTACTGGGAAGTGGTTTCCGTTTGCATGGCCTGTCCCCCGCCGCATAAATGTGGAATTACCGTCGGTGGTTCGCTACCACCGACGGAGATGAACGCTGCTCATTTGAGGATGGGTCACACTTTGAGACAACTGTAATGAGAGTAGATTCATTGCTCATGCAGACGATGTCACTGCGCTGCGTTAATGCTTCCTTCTGCTAGATCCCTTGGCAATGGCCTTTCTTTAAAGGATGATGAACACGTGTGGTGGCATCGGCGCTTCGGATAATGACGACATCTGTAGATATTACGTGCTGCAAATATTGATGCTGATTTAGGACAATTACCCGAAACATTTCCACGTTATACGTTTAATTACGTCTGATAATGACTGCCACGTTGTCGGGAACTCGAGATTGATTTCACATGGACATATTCGTTCCCACCATGGAATGAGGAATTCCCCCCACTCGCTCAGCGCTGGAAACGGATGATGAGCGTAGTTTGAATGCTCATTTGAGCCGCAGGAGATCAGCCGGGCTCGTGTTGTGTGGTGAAGATGTCGGGGCCATTCGGACCCCTCGCGTGTCCCGGGAGACGAGTCCCGTGGGAGAAGCCTCTGGGGAAATCCCGAGGCGCAGGTGGCAGCCGCGTTCACAAAGCGGGAGCGATTTTCGGCTCAAAGAGCACCGAGGCGTCGGTTCTCAAATCCCGTTAACAGCCCTGAGACAGTGGTGGGTTCCTATGGTGAGGGCGAGTCCCCCACAAAGTGGTACTATTTTAACGACCCATGAGAGATGATGGGCCAGGACTGAACTTATAACCTTCCGAATGCGAGCAGCTGGCTCCACCGCCGTGCCACGAGGAGCGAGCACCATCAATGATGCAGTCGTTACAAATGACATTACACGAGGTGATGATGACGATGAGGGCTATGAACTGTGACAGTGAGGGGGTGATATTATTGATAATGCTGATTATGCTTGCGATTATGCACATTTAATCGTAATTATCTGGAATATTTAAATGATTATAATGCACCAAACAAAACGCGTCATTCCGTCCAGCGGACGGATCATCTCACTTAGCCCCGGGTCGTGCGTGGGTGGTGGCGAAGGCGGTGGCGGCGATGGTGGTGGTGATGTTGGCTGAGTGCTGGGGTAGCAGTGGGTGGTGAGTGGGAGGCGGGGGGAGACGGCGATGGGGGGGGGGATAAGCGGATGAGGAGGAAGTAGTGGGGGGTTGGGGCGCGCAGCAGAGATACAATTAATGTAATGAGCGCGGCCGCGAGAGATGATGTCAGGACTGTGAGAGTCTCGCTGACTTCCCTGCTTCGCGCTCTGGGCACAGCTCTGGACTCCGGATAGCAGCAGTGAGAGTTGTGGATGGAGGCAGGGGAAGGCTGGTGAGAGATAATTTTCTTATCCGCGCGACCGCCTTCTCTCACCTCCACTCTCCTCCCACGCTCTCTCCTTCCCAATCTTCTTCCTCCTGCTTCTCTTCCCTCGAGATAGCCACGCCGGCTTCCTATTCATCCAGCTGAGCAGGGAGGGCGGTTCGTCTGAAAGAAGACACGACTGACTCTCCCCTCCATAGCGCGATTTCTCCTCCCTCCTCTGCCTCTCCCCCAACCCTCTCACTCCTTTAGAAGATTAATACCACGGAGCGCCGCTGACATAGCCGGCTGGAGCATCATCCCTGTGTTTCTCTCTCGCTGTGTGGGTGCGCGCGTGTCAGTGTGTGTGTAGATTCTGCACATTGGCTCTCATGCGCACGATTCATCATCAGGCGTGGGGCAGCAGCATCTCGCGCCCGACTCCGCCTGCACCGACGAGGAGGCTTCGCCGTCCGAGACGGAATCAATCCACGCGCGCCCACGCCCATTATCTGCACGTATTCATCCATCTGGCTCATTCGTTAACTGGCCAATTGCAAGCGCGAATATTTGTATGATTATTTTCTCGACGTTATTTCGCGAGCGGAGAACAAGGGGGCTAGATGCCGGAGCCCGTCTCGACCGCAGCGATGGTCGGATGCCTCTGCTGAAGAGACCGTCCGCTTGGTGAGTACGAGACGAGAGGGAGACGCTGTGGCGGACAATGCCACTGCTGGATGATGCGTGCCCCCATAGGCGGCGAGCACAGCAGCGATATCTCGAGGAGGTGGTGCTCGTGACGAGGCTGGGAGATGCGCTTTGTGCTCGCTCGGCACGGGGAGGGGAGAGCGGGAGACGAGGCTCGTGCCTTGCGCTGCTGCTCTGGGTTCTCGGTGCACTCATTACGGGTGACTCGCATCGGTGCGTGGGTGCGTCCGTGCGTGCGCCTGTGTGTGTCTATGTGTGCCTGTGTGTGTCTATGTGTGCCTGTGTGTGCGTCTCTGTGTGCCTGTGTGTGTCTGTGTGCGTCTCTGTGTGTCTGTGCGTCTCTGTGTGTCTGTGTGGGGGGAGAGTGGTGGTGTAGCAGTTAACGTGCTGCGCAACGAACCTGGCGATCCGAGTTCGACTCCCGCTCACGGTCAGCATCAGTGACGAATATCTGAGCTGGTCCTGGACCTCCCCTAGATCGACTCAGCATCAAAATGAGTACCTGTGTGTAAATATCGTCACTAGGGAGACAAAGGCGGCCGGGCGTGGTGCTGGTAACCCACTCCCTCGTGTGCCTTTCCATCTTTCATAGATGCTCGCTAACAGCACTTGCCCAAAAAGTATGTAAAGGCTATACGGGGGTTCTTTGTCTGTATAGTGGGGACCAGTGGTGCAGTGGTTAGCACGAACCCGGCGACCCGAATTGGATTCCCGTTCACGGCCAGCACCAGGGACGATTATATGAACCGGTCCTGGGTCTCTTCAAGGTCGACTCAGCCTTTACATGTTTACTTGGTGCGATGGTTTAAAATATCTAGGAAGACAAAGGCAGTCAGACGAGGTTCTGGCCACCCACCCCCTCGTGTATCGTACTCGTCTCAACAGTCTCTTTTGGCTATGCGGCTTATCTGTATTTGTTTGTATGTATTTGTAGATGCCTCTATACCCGAGTACCTAATGCGGTATGTAAACATCAGCACAAGGGATACAAAGGCGGTCGGGAGTGGTGTCGCCCACACTATCCCCTTGTGTGCCGTTCAACCTTAATAGGTGAACGCTAACAGCACTGGCTAAGCGAGGATCTATGCCTGGCTGTGTGTGCGCTGTGCGTGTAAACTGGTGGTCCGTCACGCTCAGCGCCCTTAAATCATCGCCGCCTAATCCACCGATTCAGGGACCTGATGGCGGCACGCGGCTCGATCGCACCCCGCCCTCTCTCTCTCCTCGCCGTGTTTCCTCAACCTCTCCTCGCTCTCTCTCCCTCTCATCTACCTGTCTCTCTTCCCGTCTCTCTCCCTCTCAGGGCAATGACGTGTCCCCGCACCTCCGATTATCTCGGTTGGCTATGTGCGGTGCGAAAGAGGTTCAACACGTACCATACATAGGGATAGCGCGTTCGCCACTTGTTGGTGCGAATCCAGCGGCCCACTGATTGATGCTGCCGCGTGCAGTCACCGCAGTAACACCACGTGTCGCGTGCTTCACAGCGGACGTCAAAGATCCATTGCGTGCCGGCGTCCGGGTTCAAATTTGCCAAATTAGAAAATTACTCAATTGGGATTATATATATAGTAATCATCGCCCCCTACTGGTAGACTATTGCACTTTTGCAGATTTGGTGCTGAGTCACCTTGTGCCACTGGAGGGGTCCCTTTTTAAATGTGTAAAGAAGGGAGGTCTCTTAAAAAACAAACACATCATGATCTATATCTCGCTCCCTCCTCCCCATGTCTCTCCTCCTCCTGCTGTCACTCCTCTCTCTGTCTCTCTCTCCATCTCTCCTCTCTACCTCTCTCCTATGCCGCTCATAACACTCATCGTATCCCTCATCTCCTTGCATCATCTCCACATCCCCTGTGTGCTTTTCCCATCTCCTTATGTTTCTATGCTTCCCTCCCCGCTCTCACTCTCCACTCACTCGCTTCTCTCGTGCCTTCCTCTCACAATCCCTCTTCTCCATGTCTCCCTCCTCTCGATCCCTCCTCTGCCTGTCTCTGGCCCTGTCCCTCTCTCCTCACTCTACCTCTCTTCTCTCCCTCTAACAGTGATGACGATGTCCGGTATATAGAGTGCACAAATACCGCGATGCTGACATGACCCTTCTCCGCCTCTCGACCTCATTGCGTGCGGCGGTCGGTTCAGACATTTTAACCCAGAATAAAACAAGACCCCACAGCCCCTTGAACGTAGAGGCGATGGCTGTTATCTGACCGTGGATATACCATGGTGAATGATGATTAGAACTACGTGTTTTTATCATCACGTTTTTTTTATCTCGGTGCGGGAGCAATGATGGAATCGAATCCGTGAGGGTAGCAGTGGAGTGATGCTCACAACAATGAACAGAGCTTTAGGTATAAAACACAAACAGCAAACTGGTACATTTGCCACACAATAACCCATGGGTCTGCTCACTGACTTCCTGCCAGTGAGCATTCGTTACTCTAATGGCTTCAAGGTGCACCTGGCCTGGCACAAGCACCAAGGAAACCCTGGACTGGGTTAGATTTAATGTATTGTCATCCGCAAGATGTGGCCACTTAGACTATGATAATGCGTGGAGCGGCGCTTATCTCTGATGAAAATTCCACATTCCTATTGCAGGAGCCACAAACAGTTATGCGTCATGTCAAGAGATGAAGACATCTCAATGCAGAGAGCAGTGCACCACTCTGAGTCAGAGAATGTCCCCGGAGTCTGACATCACCGAACGACTTCAGTAGGCCATGCGAGGGACACACCTTATATGTGTGTCGCTTGCCAATCGAACCGAAATGCTGCCATCTCCAGAGATGGCATGACCCAAATTGTAAAATGCAATGTGGCCGTTCTCTTAGTCGCTCGAGACAGAGCTGACACTGCCTCCCCGCGACACTCGAGAACATGGCTGAATCGCAATCGGTTGAAACCCAGATTCGAACCCATGCCCTTAGGGTGCCGGTTGAGAGCTCTTCCGCAGTTATTATGATCTCCCTTACTCACCCCGTCCCTTGTTACAACAACAGGCTATCACTAATTCCAAAGAACAGGTGACATCACCTTCTAAGCCAGGTTTCCCAAGCGTGAGCCCTCGCACCAATTATTACCCGACTCCCCTTGGGTTCCGATCCTTGCATCATTACGCACTGCACGTGCCTCATGATTGCCACGTGAGTCCCACGTAACAAAGCGAGTCGAGAATAAGAGCGCTCCCAACAGCCACCACTCGCCTATAAGTGTGCCGTTTGTTTTATTCTATGTGTACTGGAACATGTTTAGCAACCATCCGGCACGTATAGCGTGTAAGGACCGAATTTGTATTTGAACAGAGAAGGCTGCCACTTTGTAGGGTTCCGTGGTTCCTATGCTTCACTCTCAGAACTATTCCTGGGTCGTGCCGTGTGGTTTTAGAAACGTCGTTCGACATTTTGCTCCACGGAATTAATTTTTCCATGGAGCTCCCAGCGTCGGATGTTGTGCCGAACAGTACGAGGCTAAACCGAGGCGCTCACGCGAGCACTGACGGAGAAGGTTGGGGCCGCACGGAGCGGCGGTGCAGCGGGTTTGGGGAACAGCGCGCTCAGCCGCCGCGCTCTCTCCCCAGGTGCTCGGCTCTCCACGCGGTGATGTCCGCGGCCGGGGCACTGCTCCGCGGATTCAGCTCCCGGAATCGGAGTGAGGGAGGAGGAGGAGGAGGCGGTGGGGGCGCCGCACAGCCTGGGGGATCCAAGCGCCACCTGCGAGGCCGCAGCCGTGGCCGTGGCCGGCGGAGAAAGTACGACCCGGACGTGGTGGTGGTGAAGGGCAAGGTGCGCGTCCTCAGCTTCTCGGGGGTGTTCACCGCCTTCGGGGTCCTCATCTTGGTGGTCGGCGTGGCCATGGCCGCCATTGGCTATTGGCCAAAGGGCAACACGACCCGTGCCCTCTCCTCCAGCTCCACAACCGCATCAACCGCTTCCTCCTCTTCAACCTCATCCTCCGCCGCCGCCGGCAACGCGACCTCCGTGACCGAGCGGCGCAACGGCACCGGGGAGGCTGTGCCCGGCCCCAACGTGACCTCGTCCGCGACCCCAGGCCGCACCTCTGGCCCCGAGCAGGGCTTTCTGGCGGCGCAGCTGCACTCGTACCGCATGAAAGTGCTGGGGCCGCTCACCATGGGCATCGGCATCTTCATCTTCATCTGCGGCATCGCGGCCCTCTACGAAAACCGCGACCGTGAGACCAAGGTCATCCACTTGCGTGACATCTACTCGGCCATCATCGACACGCACCACCACCACCACAACCACCGCAGCACCAAGGGGGCCGCGGCGCCATCTCGCGGCCACGTCAACGGCCTCGCGGGACGGCAGGGCGCCGACCAAATCGCTCGCTGCTACGATGCTCAGTGCGCGGCGCGGCTCACGGCCAGCATGCTCCTCACCCTGCCGTGCGCTATCAGCGACCCAAAGTTTTCAGCGGATCTGTGCGACGACCTCCGCCATGGAGACCCCTTGGGCATCCTGGGCGCTCCGTTCCGTGGCGGCCGCTCTGGGTCACTCTACACCATCCACTCGGAGACGTGTCCCCGCAGCCCGCGCAGCCCACGCAGCCCCCGCGAGGAGAAGGGCCTCCCCAGCAAGGCGTCCAAAGCTCCGTGTCGAGCCACTTCCATCGTGTCCTCGTCCATCACTGCGTTCACGCTTCCCGTCATCAAGCTCAACAACTGCGTCATCGACGACGCTGGTGACCTCGCCGTTGCGCCTCCGCATCGCTCTGACGTGACGGCGGAGAGCGGAGGTGGTGATGGAGACCGAGAGAAAGCCAGGTCCTTGTCTCTCGTGGACGTTAGCATTGCCTCCGGCGCACAGGGACAGACGGAAGGTTCCCCCGCGGCCACAGATGGACCTGAATCTGTCCCGGAAGTATCTCCTTACGGGGAAGGGGGAGACGCGGACGTTGAGAAGGAAGACGTGGTGCCGCCACTTCGCGTCGGCTCGGGTGTGGAGCCCTCGGAGCAGCCGAAAGTCGCCTCTTCCACCGCGTCCTCGCCTCCTGCCTCGTCCCCCACCTCGTCTCCCTCCTCCTACCGGCCCATGAAGCGGCAGTACTCCAACAAGGAGAAGCTCATCATGATCTCGCGCTTGAACCGCAACGTGAGCTTCGAGGTCGAAGAGGAATTTGTGCGTCCCGCCTCTCCGCCACATGGCCCCAACCCTTCCGAGACGCATCTCTAAATAAAGACAGAAACTTATCGTGGCATGAGATTTTAGGAGGCTACCAATGCCGCCCTGGGTGAAGTGTGCAATCCTTCCACGAGTCCGCCCGAGACTACGAAACCAGGACAGGAGTTGTAGCCTCCTCAACCTGGAAACAGGAGCCAATGCCGACTCCGTGTCCAAAGGATTAGGGATGCTGCTCACGACTCAGATACGCATCCTCTGTGAGTCCCATAATTCATTGAAAATAGCATAGACACGGAGGGATTAGTTGGATATTTGGGGGCCGCATTTAACTTTTTATTACACGTCCCACGTCTCGCACAGCTAGCAATGTTTACATTAAGAGAGAGAATTGTGATCTTGCCTGATTACGCCCACGCTTACACGGTGAGCTGGTGTTTGTAGCAATCAACTTCACAGCCACGTGTTGTATGAGACGGTGTTTTATGGGAGGGTGTTGTATGTAATAGGCAAGCGGCCCACGCACGCACGTGCACCGACGTGCGCAGGAAGACTCAACCAAGATGAAGTTGCGCGCTGCTGTTCCCGAGGACTGCGGACCGGGGGAAGCGAAGCGCGATGAAGCATGCTGACAGTCAAGGAGTCGATTAATTGGTCAATTAGTGAAACAATCGCCAAGCTGAGTCTTTTACATCCGCAGTTTTCTTTGCAGAAAGCGATTAAATGCAGCGGTGAGTGGTTAGTGAAGAGAACCTCGAAACGAAGAACATCACTGCCCACTGCCTCTCTGCCCACTGTCTCTCTGTCTCTGTGTGAGTCTTTGTGTATATCTTCGTCTCTCAGTGCGCGTTGGCCCGATGTATGCCACAATGTCTAATCTATACGTGCCTGCATATCTTCATCTCTCTCTCTCACTCAGCGTTTTCATTGTGACTCTGTGTATCTGTCTCTGTGTATCTGTCTAGGCGTCTCTAACTCTGTGAATCTGTCTCTGGGTCTCGATTGGAGGTCACTGTGTGGGTGGACAATCCCTCTGTCGTGTTGAAGTCACGCACAAGAGGAGGGCTAATGTCTATTTTTATAGCTGTTTTTGCGCGAGAGATTTAGAGAGCGGTGATGGTGTTTATCCAAACACTGGCCAGAAATGTATGGCCTCTGTATATACTTTGAATATCTAAATATTTTTGTCCCGCCAGGGCGTCTATAGGGAAACTAAATGAAGCGAGTGTTATTTATTTATTTGATTGTCTCTTGCAGGGGAGTTCTGGCAGGGGACTACAGAACATTCTCTTACAATTTGTCATAAGTCCGGCACGCTACGATTGTGACTGTATGAATTCCCAATGTCGTAAGTCCCTTATTTATTCGGAGCTACGACAAGGCTTCTCTTGAACCGAACGTACGCCATCTCTAGGATGTCGTAAGTTGTTCGGTACTATTATGGACCCCGGAGTAGAGGGAGACCAGTTATCATCATGGATCGTGGCATTGTATGACCGCTAGGGACGGTGGATGGTGGAGACTGAGGGTAGACAATGGTTCATGATGATGGTGACGGTCTCATACAAATGCCTGTGCATGAACCTAATTCGCTTCTTGATGAAAACGCATCTCGCTTACTCGGGTACATGACCCGACCGTTTCACTTCACTCATTCGCAAAGCCTCCGTGAGCCTCATGGCTCGTTTTCTGGAGGCTCCTGCATTAGACGCATTACTTATTCCGTTTTGATTTTTTTATTTGCATAAGTAAATAAACCTGAGTGCCAGGATATATCCTACGCATTCATCAAATTAGCAACCTACTTGCTATACTGGCTACCTACCTGCCATGCACTTGTGTATGCTATTGGAAAAATGGACGTTTGATTTAAATGCTTTATCTTGTTGTAAATATGCGATTAATTGTAAGCGCAGACATGAGCTGAGTCCCCGGCGTATGGGCCACGCAGCCCATGTGGCACACGCGGGGTCTCTACTTGAGCCGGGGCTGTACTCGGAGCGAGCAGGGCTCCATTAGTGCGTTGCTCCGACGAGCGCGTTGCGTTACCAAGCAGAGGGAGGCGGTGGAATGTCGCCTCGCACATTCGCGCAGGCTCTGGTCGTCGTTGATCTGCCCGTGGCGTGCCTGGGTCATCCCTTCGTCTTGCCCAATGGAGCACGGAGGCTGTGCCGTGTAACATTTTACTTTCTAGGTCAGGGCAAGCGGCACACGCAAACAAATACACACGCGGACACATATACAGTATACACATGTTTGAACCAAGTATACAGCAGTGTGTTTTGGCAGAGTAACTCCGGCCATTATTCGCACGCGTTACATGTGCATCAACAGCTGGCACATGCACGCGTGGACACATTCTGACACTGGAGCCTTGTATTGAGGCTTATTGGAGGTAAAGATATTGGGATATAATGAGACAGATACAAACATGCAAAACTATTTTAAACCAATATATACCACTATTATAGGTCGACTGGGCCTGAAATGAGTACCTGGTGCGGTGCGCAAACACCAACAAAGACAGCGGAGCGTGGTGCTGGCCACCCACCCCCACGTGTGCCGTGCTGGCCTTCACAAGGTATCGCTAACAGCACCTGCACCAACAATCTATTAAGGCTATACGGGGATCTTTGTCTTTATTTACGTATGGAGCCGATGCTGCAGCGGTTCGCAAGGTCCTACAAGCCCAGCAGCACAGAATTTGATTCGCAGCCACGGCTAACATCAGTGGTCAGCCTTACCATAGGTCGACCAAATGAGTACCCGGCGCGGTGTGTAAACATTGGTTCCGTAAGGAGACAGGCGGTCGTCGAGTGGTGCTGGCCACACCGAACCGCGTGCGCCGTTCTGGCCTTAGTTCTCTTTAATGGCACTTGCCCCCAAAAGCATACGGCTTCAGCGGGGGATCGTTACCTTTCTTTATACAGGCCTACTGCACGCGTGGCAGGCACGTGGTACTGATGGAGAGACACAAATATTCTTTGTCCCATGCGGCTGAGTGTAACCTGCAGGAGAGATTGGTGCTCTGAGGTTGTTGTGCATGCATTGATGTGTTATAGTAAGGCGCGTTCACATCTGGCCGTGTAGAGTAACAGGCACACGGGGATTTATATTCATTATTTAGTAATGTCACCCTATCCAGCAGCTGACATTCCCAAGACCTCAGGAGAGCAAAGCTAAAAGCTCATTCGCTTCCCTTTTCCTCCAACTTGCCTGCACCATTGCCATGCAATGTAAAGTCCTTTATCGATCCACTGCTAGATGAAGGCCTCTCAATACCTTTCGGTTATGAAGTTTATTTGACCATTCTTCACCACGCTGGTCAAGCCGGCTTGGTGAAGTGGGGTGCGACCAGGATGGCTTCTGGTATCATGGGGTCGCTGGTGTTAGCCGTGGCTGAGAATCAAACTCAGGTAGCGAGGTTAAATACATGGGAAAACAATCTCACCTTTGTTTGGCCTGCACTCCTCGCTACTGGTGAGCAGGGGAGGGGCGCGTACCCACATCTGGTGAGCTAGCACTTTGGCATTGCGTGTACATTGACGCACGGGGTTAATCCCTCTGATTAGCACGGTTGGCTACGTACGGTGCGAAGGAAGTTCAACACACTGTACATATATACAATGGGAACCGATTGTCAAGAGGAGGAGGAGGCTAGGGGCGCAGTTAGGGTGAGTGTTGGCGTTCATGAATACCGGGCGTGCTGCTGGTTTCAAGCAAAGTTGTGCCTCATATTCATGGAGCAGAGTTATGCTTTGGAATGTTGCAAATGCAACATTTATGATTGGGCTAAGACTACGGTTTATGTTATGGCTCTAATTATAAGGCGAGCGGCTGGTCGTATACATAGCGTAAGTGAACAGTTCCATTAGTTTCCCACGTGAATCGCTCGCTGTAAAGCACAGAACGCAGTCACTCCATGTGGCCATAGACACAAACTCGACCGGGCCTTGGAGGGCGAGTTAATGCAACCTAAAGCCTCTGTCTTGATCGCGTTGTAGCAAGGGACTGTGTTGTTTCTTCTTTCCTTATTTCACGTCTACAATACAGCACAGTGTGAATATACCTGGTGACGTGAGTACATTTATATTTTACATACACAAACACATCATTATTCACACACATACATTTTTATTATACATATACATCACTCACCATGGGCTCACGGTTCTGCGAGTGCTTCGCCACAGTCAATGAGTTGGCACGATTCAGTATCAGTTTATTAAAACGTTCCTGGGAAGAAATGAGGTATCCGTATTTTGGACATCACTTTTGTTAAAAAACGATTTCTCAAGTTGGGCACTCGCCGTGACGTTGACATTGAGAGCAGGCTGAGCCGCAAGTTAGGCTGTCGGAAGGTGCTGGCTTAGCCTCTCCTGGTGTAGAATCTGAGCCACGTATACGGGCTGGTTTAGCCTCACCTGGTGTAGACCGGGCTGGATTAACCTCACCTGGTGTAGAACGGGCTGGTTTAGTTAGCCTCACCTGGTGTAGAACGGGCTGGTTTAGCCTCACCTGGTGTAGACCGGGCTGTATTAACCTCACCTGGCGTAGACCGGGCTGGTTTAGCCTCACCTTGTGTAGAACGGGCTGGTTTAGCCTCACCTGGTGTAGAACGGGCTGTATTAACCTCACCTGGTGTAGACCGGGCTGTATTAACCTCACCTGGTGTAGAACGGGCTGGTTTAGCCTCACCTGGTGTAGACCAGGCTGGACTAACCTCACCTGGTGTAGACCGGGCTGTATTAACCTCACCTGGTGTAGAACGGGCTGGTTTAGCCTCACCTGGTGTAGAACGGGCTGGTTTAGCCTCACCTGGTGTATACCAGGCTGAACTAACCTCACCTGGTGTAGACCGGGCTGGATTAACCTCACCTGGTGTAGAACGGGCTGGTTTAGCCTCACCTGGGGTAGAACGGGCTGGTTTAGCCTCACCTGGGGTAGAACGGGCTGGTTTAGCCTCACCTGGTGTAGACCGGGCTGTATTAACCTCACCTGGCGTAGACCGGGCTGGACTAACCTCACTTGGTGTAGACCGGGCTAAACGGGCTGGTATAGCCTCACCTGGTGTAGAACGGGCTGGTTTAGCCTCACCTGGTGTAGACCAGGCTGGACTAACCTCACCTGGTGTAGACCGGGCTGGATTAACCTCACCTGGTGTAGAACGGGCTGGTTTAGCCTCACCTGGTGTAGACCGGGCTGGATTAACCTCACCTGGTGTAGAACGGGCTGGTTTAGCCTCACCTGGTGTAGACTGGGCTGGATTAACCTCACCTGGTGTAGACCGGGCTGGTTTAGCCTCACCTGGTGTAGAATGGGCTGGACTAACCTCACCTGGTGTAGATCGGGCTGAACTAACCTCACCTGGTGTAGACCGGGCTGGTTTAGCCTCACCTGGTGTAGAACGGGCTGGACTAACCTCACCTGGTGTAGAACGGGCTGGTTTAGCCTCACCTGGTGTAGAATGGGCTGGACTAACCTCACCTGGTGTAGATCAGGCTGAACTAACCTCACCTGGTGTAGACCGGGCTGGTTTAGCCTCACCTGGTGTAGAACGGGCTGGACTAACCTCACCTGGTGTAGACCGGGCTGGACTAACCTCACCTCGTGTAGAACGGGCTGGTTTAGCCTCACCTGGTGTAGACCGGGCTGGTCTAACCTCACCTCGTGTAGAACGGGCTGGTTTAGCCTCACCTGGTGTAGACCGGGCTGGTTTAGCCTCACCTGGTGTAGACCAGGCTGGACTAACCTCACCTGCTGTAGACCGAGCTGGTTTAGCCTCACCTGGTGTAGACCAGGCGGGACTAACCTCACCTGGTGTAGAATCTGGGCCACGTGAAACGCAAAGAGTATTTAGATTTTCCTGATGCGCTAACGCGGGATGTGCGCGTGCGAGTGTGATAGTCACGCGTCTCTGTCTACAACAACAATTTGTGTTAATTAGTCGCTATCTTCCTGCACTTGGTATACTTTGTAAAGACGTAAACGTGCAATTTTTCAGTACTGTAATTTTAAATTGAAATGTTAATTGTGTAGAACTTGACATTGGATGGCAATCGGAAGGCTTTGCTGTAAACGCGTTTAATTGGTGGGTAGTGAGAGTGTGATTGAGAGCAGGGTGATTTGTGCCAGCGTGGTGTCACAGTGGGACGTGCCAACTTGCCAGCACGTGACCCTGGGGAGGGGGGGGCACATTGGTTCCACTTGAATGGGACAATTGTTTTCATACCTTTTTTTACGTGGCCAATAAAAGTGAGTTAGTATGTGATATGCTTTCCAATGGTTAATCACTAACAAATATCGACTATTGGTATAGGTGCTTTTGGAACCCGTATGGTGGCAACATCCGCTTGCCACACCAGGCCCGATGTATGTACCAGTGATATATCTGGTCGAATGCTCTCAGCCCACCGGGAACGAGGTGGGACCAGGCGGTTGTGTTAACTGTATGCTGTTCCTGACATTTATTTACACGGCAAAGCCTGAGTCTCAAGACTCCTTTTTTAAGAGATCCTGTATTGGAATGTTTGGCCAATTAAATTTTAAGAAAAAATTATAATAGGTTTTACCCTTTCTGGCAATAAAACAGCTGCTCGCCTTTTGGTGTTCTCTGGTCTGACATTGGTGAGACTAGGCCCTAAAGAAGGCTGTCTCTAGTGTAGGCCAATCCGTTTCAAAGACAATGCACATATTGTAAGAGCATGTTTGTTTGCATGTTCACCACAAGTACGTGTAGTTCATGCAGAATTGATTACTTGCAAAATGTTTCTATTTGGTATTTGAACATCTTAACACCTGTTTTATAGCCATAAAGGGTAAAACCTATTTTATTTTTTCATACTTTGATACTGGCAAAAAGGTCCCATTTTATACATTTTAAGAGTTTGTTTTAATGTGGGAAGACACTGAAGTACCAAGGGAAACCCCTCACGTGCGATGGGGTAACAATCCAGCACCTGCCACACTCGTGACATTGTCCACTTACTGATTGGTCCAGCTGAAACTAACGATCTTAACCTGCAGTCTGTGGGGAGCTGAGAGATTGATGGAGGCGATACGTGAGGTCTGGTTGAATATATAGTGGTGAATGTTGGTATATACATCATGAACTGTGTCAAAACGGAATAAAAACGTGACGTTGGAAGATGTTACCACGGGTTTGTTCATCACGTGAAGGAGTCGCGTTCGTTACGCGTCTTTGTTCCCACTTGGATGACATTCATGCGTAATTATATTAGGCAGGAGGGTATTGACTCGGATGTTTCGATAAATATCTACAGTGAGGGAAAAAAGTATTTGATCCCCTGCTGATTTTGTACGTTTGCCCACTGACAAAGAAATGATCAGTCTATAATTTTAATGGTAGGTTTATTTGAACAGTGAGAGACAGAATAACAAGAAAATCCAGAAAAACGCATGTCAAAAATGTTATAAATTGATTTGCATTTTAATGAGGGAAATAAGTATTTGACCCCCTCTCAATCAGAAAGATTTCTGGCTCCCAGGTGTCTTTTATACAGGTAACGAGCTGAGATTAGGAGCACTCTTAAAGGGAGTGCTCCTAATCTCAGCTTGTTACCTATATAAAAGACACCTGTCCACAGAAGCAATAAATCAGATTCCAAACTCTCCACCATGGCCAAGACCAAAGAGCTCTCCAAGGATGTCAGGGACAATATTATAGACCTACACAAGGCTGGAATGGGCTACAAGACCATTGCCAAGCAGCTTGGTGAGAAGGTGACAACAGTTGGTGCGATTATTCGCAAATGGAAGAAACACAAAAGAACTATCAATCTCCCTCGGCCTGGGGCTCCATGCAAGATCTCACCTCGCGGAGTTGCAATGAACTACACGGGAGGATCTTGTCAATGACCTCAAAGCAACTGGGACCATAGTCACCAAGAAAACAATTGGTAACACACTACGCCGTGAAGGACTGAAATCCTGCAGCACCCACAAGGTCCCCCTGCTCAAGAAAGCACATATACATGCCCGTCTGAAGTTAGCCAATGAACATCTAAATGATTCAGAGGACAACTGGGTGAAAGTGTTGTGGTCAGATGAGACCAAAATGGAGCTCTTTGGCATCAACTCAACTCGCCGTGTTTGGAGGAGGAGGAATGCTGCCTATAACCCCAAGAACACCATTCCCACCGTCAAACATGGAGGTGGAAACATTATGCTCTGGGGGTGTTTTTCTGCTAAGGGGACAGGACAATTTCACGACATCAAAGGGACGATGGACGGGGCCATGTACCGTCAAATATTGGGTGAGAAACTCCTTCCCTCAGCCAGGGCATTGAAAATGGGTCGTGGATGGGTATTCCAGCATGACAATGACCCAAAACACACGGCCAAGGCAACAAAGGAGTGGGACAAGAAGCACATTAAGGTCCTGGAATGGCCTAGCCAGTCTCCAGACCTTAATCCCATAGAAAATCTGGAGGGAGCTGAAGGTTCGAATTGCCAAACATCAGCCATGAAACCTTAATGACTTGGAGAAGATCTGCAAAGAGTGGGACAAAATCCCTGAGGTGTGCAAACCTGGTGGCCAACTACAAGAAACATCTGACCTCTGTGATTGCCAACAAGGGTTTTGCCACCAAGTACTAAGTCATGTTTTGCAGAGGGGTCAAATACTTATTTCCCTCATTAAAATGCAAATCAATTTATAACATTTTTGACATGCGTTTTTCTGGATTTTCTTGTTATTCTGTCTCTCACTGTTCAAATAAACCTACCATTAAAATTATAGACTGATCATTTCTTTGTCAGTGGGCAAACGTACAAAATCAGCAGGGGATCAAATACTTTTTTCCCCTCGCTGTAGGAGCTTTCTCATATCGAATCACAGCAGTCCACAGAGGGGACCACCACAAACACTCGAGAACACCACAATATATTGATAACCTTCCACAAACTCACTTACTGTACTGCCTTCTAGAGGAAACTGCAAATGCTTAGAATTCATCAATGAACCTAAAGTAATTCTAGATTTAAAGCTTTCGTGACTGCAAGGATTCATATCTGGATGGCTTCATGGACAAATCTCTGGTAATAACCGGGAGGTTTGCACAGACACAACTTCAACCGAGAGGATGGTTTCAAAATGA